GAGTGTGTGTGTGTGTGTGAGTGTGTGCGTGTGAGCATGTATATGTAAGTGTATGTGTGAAAGCGTGTGTGTGTGTGCGTGAGTGCGTGTGTGCGTGTGTATGTGTGGTGTCTCACAACAAGAATAAGGCCAACGTTCTGTTCCCTCCCCGACGAGGAGACTTGGAGTTCTTGACCCCCAGAGGTCACCGCCCATACGTTTGGGGGGGGGGGGGGACCAGAGGGAACTTCCTCAAGGAATTTATCATTTCAACTGCACACATTATTTGAAGAATTTGTCCTCCATCGTTGATCCAAACAAGATTTAAAATTTTACGAACACCGTTGATGTTACAATCGCAATAAAATGTAATTAGATCTAAAATCTAGATCTAGTGCAATCCGAAACACGTAAATTGCTGCTTTTAAACCTGAATTTTCATATTAAAGACCACAATGTATTTATAAGAAGCAATAATGCGACTTAAAAAAGTAAAACCAGGAGCGTTCTTGAACTAACCTGAAAACAACAAACTCTTCGGGTCCCATGCACTCGTTATGTGGCGCTTATATGACCTTTTGCAGTTGCAAGCGCCGTAAAACCTCTACTAAAGCACTCGTTATGCAGTTGGAAGGGCCGTGAAACTCTACTGAAACAAGAGGTTGACGTTTTATAGGCTATAGATCTAAAAAGCTTAAGTTTTAAGGAAATTCCGCGTGATGAAAAGTGGACCAAAGTTGACCCAAGCTTGTGTTGAGCTGAATAGTTTGCCATCACACGCTTGGAATTGACCAAAAAAGAAAAAAGAAAAAAGAAGAACGTTCTTATAAATATTTTTAAACTGTTGAGACGAATTGAAGGAACCGGAATATTATGATAATTTGGTTATAGATATGTGAGTGTCACGCCGACACAGTGGAATCCGGAGCTCGTCATCAGTTTATGGGCTAGTGGGGTTATTATTAGCATCATCCAAGGACTACGTAAGAATATTATATAGTACTCCTTCGTATCATCTTAAAGTTAAAGCGTGTTGGTTTGCCTTGCTTTTGGCGAACAGTTATCCATCCATTTTGAAAAGAAGTCGAAATAAAACTGTTAGAATCTAGTACTTTCCGCGCCCCCACCTCACCATCCTCCGATGATCGTCGTTTTGAGCATTATAGCAGTAGATCTAGATCTAGATCTAGATCTAGATCTAGATCTAGTACATATGTAATACACGTCGTCAGATAGTTTAGGGATAGTGGTGATTGTACTGATGGTAATATTATTGCGGCGGTGGTGATGACAGTGGTAGTGGTTTAAAAAAGTAATGATATTCCAAAGAACGAAAGTTTATAAGGCACTGTGGTTGTAATGGTTAGTAGGGGCAGTGGTGATATTGTACTAATGGTAAATTGGTAGTTGTAGAGGTGGTGATGCTAGTGGTAATGAATGGTGGGAGCTGCAGGGGTGGACGTAGTAATGACAGTAGTAGTGAAAGTTTATAGGGCATCATGATTGTAACCTATTTAGGCAAATGGGGGCAGTGGTGGTACATATGAGTGTTGTGCTTATGGTAGTTGTATTGTAGTCGTAGTGGTCGTGGTGTCAGTTCAACGGTTGTAGTTGAAGGCTAGACAACAAAATAATTGTTGGCAAATCACAAACATTACAGTTTTTATTTACATCAAAGCAAAGGTGAATCTAATAAGGAGAATGTGAGGCTAAAATTGTTTGGTGTTCCCGTATAAAACGTGCCCATTATTAGACAACTCATTGAGTTTCGGCAGTAAGGCTAGGCCTAGATAGGATGTTAACAATGGTTCAGTTTTTTCAGAAGTGTGAATCCCACTTATCAACACTAAATCTAGATTCTAGAGATCTACAAGAACAGTCCCCGAGGCTAAATCGGCACAGAGCAGAAACAGAAGAACTTTTTGGAGTACGTTATTACTTTATTACATTGAATTAGATCATTTACGCTCGTATATTTAATAAAACAGGACAAACTGGAATCATAATACACATGTCATTTATTGCAATAAATGACACTTGAAGTAGGTAAAGAGATGCTATAGTAGACTATAGAATCTACGGGCCGACAGACGAACGGAGCAGGACGGTCCAATTTATGATCTAGGCCTAGATCTAGATCTACCAGACTTCAAGTATGAAGCGATCGAGAAGAAGATAATACCATACAGTTACCCCTTTTTAAACCTATAGTGTACATCTATGGATAATACATCATGTAATAATAATTTTTTCAAAGTCTTACTTATGCAAGGGATCCAATCGTGTCAAAACAAAAGATACAAAAGAAACGTCACTTATTGCCCCTGTTTTGACATCATTGCAAATCTGGGCATGCGCAGTCAAGTTTGTACTAAATTTGGAATGGGCGTAACTTTTCCGAGTGACAGATGAGCGATAGGGCCCAGTCTATTCTGTTTATAGCGAAGAAAAAATGGGTATTAGTCCCTGCTTATTCACATATTTTGCTTTCTAAGTATCTTAGAGACACATATTACTGTAAAAAAATATAATATTCTTTTCAGAATGAGGAAAGCTTGATCAAAACTGCCTTGTATACTAAAATCTTGAAGGTCGATATGCACAAGCGAAAAAACGAGTTCAGAAAGCGCGGACATTTGTTGTGAGGCCTAGTTTGGGATATTAAAAAATAAAAATAATATTTATAATTTGATTTGAAATGTTATGATAGAGTTCCACCAGTGAAATAGTTTTTAAAAAATCATATCCAATCATAATTATCTACTCCGTTAAAATGTAATGTTTTATCTCTTGTAAAAAGATTTTATTTGTTGTGTAAAGCTTTCAGAGAGGACCTCTCAGCTGTCAGGCTGGCGTGTGACGTCAGCGAGTGGGCAGTGTCGAAGCGGCCAAGAAACGCCATTTTGACGATGACTGACAATGTCGACGGACTATAAGGTAAGGCCTGCATTGTCAGTGTCTTTGCGCGTGAGATTGACATGTGTCAAAGCATTGACAGCCCACCAGTTTTATGAGTTCGATAGGGACAGTCATGGGAAGATTGGTTTTGATCGACTCACAGTTGGGAGGGTTAGGAGAGCACGAGGAAATTTAATCGTTGACTTTAAATACTTGATAGATGTTGTAGGAGCTGTGATGATGAGGTTCAAAAGTAGGCTAAATGTAGAACTTGTTCTCATGTCGGGCGCCGAAGCCTGGAAGTCGTACTGAATGGCGCGACCAACAAGAGCAAGAGAATTCAACGAAAGAATGTGTCACTCAGCAAACTCTTCCTTATCTTTTTGTTTACTTTTGTCTTTTTTTTGTTGTTTTTTTACAGGTTGGTTTCAGAAACCATAGACTGGGTCTAAAAATATTAATAATTAAGTCTCGATCAATGTTTTGAATTATTTTTTGGTAAATTGCCGGCGACAGGTATATATTGGCATTGGCATTGGTGGGGTTGGGCCAAATATAAACGGTAGATTTACAACATAGACCTAGATCTAGATTAGATCTAGATCTAGATCTAGATGATTATGACACCTTGATCTAATCTACTTTTTGGCTAGGCTATGGCTTCTTTGCATTTTACTTTCGTCTTGGACTTAGGGCTGCAGTTGGGCCGGTTTGGGGCATGAGTGATACTGATAGTCAGTGGCATTTACACATTGTAGGCTGTTGTCCAAGGCTAATTCATCACCTATCACTATCAGTATCATTCTATCATGTCATAAAAGATCTATTCAATTCAATCTTGAGTTTGAGTCTACATCACTTATCAAGTGATGTGCGAAGGTGTAAATCCATTTGGATGAATCACGACATTGTCTAGATCTAGAAAGTTAGGATTCTATGCCACTCGCTTGGCATGTAGATCTAGAATCTAGATCTAAATCTAGGCCTAAATTTTAATTGTAGCTTAATTAACATAGATCTACGTTAAAATGTAGGTACGTTAGAGGCGTGTTTTTATAATAGATCTCTCTCTCTCTCTCTCTCTCTCTCTCTCTCTCTCTCTCTCTCTCTCTCTCCCAGAAGTAAAGGCCTGAATTAGACTAGCCTAGGCCATGTGGAAAATGAAATGAAGCTTTTGACTTTTGATTAGACTAATGATCAACACCAAAATGCTAGTGAGATAGAGATCAAGACATGATGTATAGATCTAGATTAGATCTAGATCTAGATCTAGATTCTAGATCTAGAATCTAGAGTCTACAATATTTTTAAAAATGTTTGTGGTAAATTGCCGACAGGTGATGTATTGGTTGTGTTGGGCCAAATAAAAAAGGTAGATTTATACATATTATGATTATGACACTTTGATGCCCC